TTTCAACTTAAAATCAATGATTTTCATGGGACAAATTGGGGGTTTTGGGTAGAACCTAGGTTTTCTATAAATTGGGGATTTGGACCTTAATTTGAGGTCCGATTTTAAAACAAATTGCATATTTGAGTTCGTGGGGGAATGGGTAACCGAGTTTTGGTTCGAACCTCGGGATTTGACCACGTGGGCCCGGGGGCGATTTTGGAATTTTTGGGAAAAACTTTGGAAAATTCATTTTTATGCATTCAAATTGATTCATTTAGTGTTTATTAATGTAATTAAGTAATTTGTGGCTAGATTCGAGCGGGTTGGAGGTGGAATTTCGGGGTAAAGCCACAGTTGAGGCTTGAGTTGAGTTCAAGGCATCGAGGTAAGTGTTTGATTTAACCCTAGCTTGAGGGAATAGGAGTTGAGTCTTATTTGATGCTTGTTAATTGTCGAGTACGATGTATAGGCATGGTGACGAGTATCTATACATTGGTGTCTAGCATGGATGTGAGTCCTTATTTTGCGAATAGTTTGGTTGTTGATATGCCTTCCATGCTTAATTGATGACTCCAATATGTTGTAAAGACCTTGTGAAAGAAATTGTGATCTTGAAACTTAGTGGAGCATTGGCTCAGGTTGAAATACAAATTGTGAAGATTTATGAGATAAGTAACTCTTTGGAGCATTGGCTCAAGTGATAATGTGAACTATGAGACGAAAGTGAAAGAAAGAAAAGAGTAATGATTTATTCCCTTGCCGGGATGTTGTTGGTTATTGATGTTGTACCCTTGCCGAGTCTTTAAATTGTTGTTGCGTACCCTTGCAAGGACTTCTATTCTTGTTGTATTATTTTCCCTTGCCCTTGTTTGTGATTGTTGATTGGGTGAGGAAGAGTGTTAAAGCACGAAGGGTGATGTCGTGCAGTGAATGATGTATATGGATCGGGTTGCACGCCGCAACAATGATATTTATGGATCGGGTTGCACGCCACAACAGTGTTGTTAAATATTGGGATCGGGTTGCGCGCCGCAACAATGATATTTATGGATCGGGTTGCACGCCACAACAGTGTTGTTAAATATTGGGATCGGGTTGCGCGCCGCAACAATCATTGATACTAGTGTGTATATTTTGGGTATTGGTTTCTTGTCCGCTGTAAATTCCAAGCTGCCCTTAGATTGTTATTCTGGATTTACTATTAATACTGTTATCTCCCCACAGCATGCTTCCCCCCCATATTGTTTACTTGTCTTGTATTTTCGATTCCGATGTATATATATAATTGTACAGGTTTTTGTGGTAGTCCAGTCTAGCCTCGTCACTACTTCGCCGGGGTTAGGCTAGACACTTACCAGCACATGGGGTCGGTTGTGCTGATGCTACACTCCGTGCTATTTGCACAGGTCCAGGTTTCGAGCAGCAGCAACAGCATTAGTACGGGAGCAGGCCTCTAGTCCGGTGAGACCCGAGGTAGCCTTGCAGGCGTCCGCAAGCCCGACGTCTCCCTTATTCTCTCTTTTTAGCCTGTTGCCTCATTGTATTCGAGACAAACAGCTTATGTTTTCTTTCAGACGTTTGTGTTTAGTATTTCTNCGAAGAAGAAGAAGAAGACATGACATTACATTATATTGCAGCAATTGTAGATAAATTGTAGAAAAATTGTAGATTGTTGTTTATTTATTTTTGAGCTTTTGTGTTTTTGTGTTAAAAGTTTTGATGGGAGCTTGTTATTCCACTTCGTCTGTTTTGGAGCTAACTTGTGCAGAGGAGAAGATGTTTTTTAAGTTATATATATTGTATACCTTTGAATTCAAGAAAGTATGGTTGTATTGTATTTAAAGAGGCGTGAATTTGGAGAATAGGTTGAATGTGAGGAATGAGTCAAATAAGACTCACAATGACTTATTTTCTACATTTAATCTACAATAAAACTACATATCATTTGAAAAATTAATATGAAAATACAGAATTTCAATGTTTCTACAAATTATCTACAAACTGTTCATAACAGAATTTATCTTTATTTTCATGTATGTTCGTCTAGAACACTAAAGTTACTTGATATGCCAACATCTCCCGTTATAGAGGAATACAACTTATCTATAATTTTCTACAACTTTCACACATTATTTTCACCCAGTGAAATACAACTACAATAACATAAAACTTACATACAAATTTTATACAAAATTTATACAATATGTCTTTTGTATATTTTGTATCTGATTTATACATAGTAAAAATAATTTTCATACAACTAATTATATATTATACAACTTATCTACAAATTATCTACAATTTTTGTACATTATTTCTACTAAGTTATATACAACTATAATATAATACCACTTAAATATAATTTTTATCTAATGTTGTTCAACTTTTGTACAATAGTTAAATGAATAAAAGAAAAATAAATAAACAACAGAATACAATTTTTCTACAATTTATCTACAATTTCTGCAATATAATGTATGTCATGTCGTCGTCTTCTTCTTCTTCTTCTTCTTCTTCTTCTTCTTCTTCTTCTTCTTCTTCTTCGAGTTTCAATCCAAAATTCAGCCAAAACCAAGTCTAATATTCACCAAAACCCCTTAAAATTGAGATATAAACTCCAAACCATATTCTCAATTATTTGCAACAATACCCAATCCAACAAATAATGATTTTTGAAAACCCAAATTTGAATTCAAAGCTTCACAGCTTTTTAATGGCCGTCAATGGTGGAATTGCTGCTCTCTTTTCCTTTGCTTTGTATTACTGAAATTTGGACATAATTGTGTTTGATGTAAAAGAATTGTAGAAGATTTAGTCGTTTTTGATTTGTGAAATCAGAAAAAAGTTTGAAACACAGTGTATCAAAAAAGAAGAGACGCTAAATTTGAAACGAAACTGACGAAGAAGATTAATATGCATGATTTGCGTTGTGGAAGATCTGGAAGAATATTTAATCCCCCAATTTTAGCGCGCCTAAATAAGGAAGTCTACAACTACAATGATTCCTTATTTAATGCATATTCTATATTTTGTAGAATACTATTAGCACGAAGGGTAATATGCAAACTATAAACATATTTGGTAATATAGTTTCCTATATAGTATAGGAACGAAAATTTCCCTTGCTAGATTAGGCTCCTTTTGAGCGAGTTCCTAGCTCTTTTTTCATTATCTTTTTTCTCAACATAGAATAGAAAGGCCCAACTCGCATAATAAGTGACTAAGTACTTTATTCAAACTCATAACACAATGGTTTGATCTTCATCAATGATTAGGCCACCATCTTTCCACATTTCGGTTTTCAGGTTGTTGACAACAAATTTTAAAGTCCTGATATCTTTTTCTTGGAATTAGTCAATTAAGTGTTCAAAAAGAAAGATGAAAAGGAAAAAGAAAAGAAAATAAAACATCAGAAGGGCTCCAGCACATTTGTTTTTTTCCTCATTCCTTTCTCTTTCTTACTTGGTACCTCATTATTTTCTTTGTTTCTTCTTTCCTTCTTTTCCACTGCAGGTGGGGGGTGGGGGGTAGGTGGGAGGGGGACTACTGGCTCTTAATCTCATAACACTCGCAATGACACCTCAAGAAGCCTATCAACCACTTCTATAATGTTGAGAATGAAAGTATAATACTTTCCTGTTCATAGTCAACTCCCTGAATGAATAAGACTTGCTAAATCAACAGGATTTCCAGACCATTCTCTAGAGTTACTTTACTTTTTATCACTGCTTGGTCAAACAGTTAAAAGAAATGTTCTTCACTGAAATATAAATGAAAAATGATATGCTTAAGTACCCAATAAACTCATAACAAGAATTAGTCTTAGGTAATCCTCACCACATGAGCTAGCTTGTTAGGGTAGATTTCAGCCCAAGGTCCATTTTCCTTATATGGTATTAGAGCCAGACCCATTCAATTTTCGAGTTCATTACTTAAATGGTTTTTTCAACTATTCGAAATTATATATTAAAGTCATTTTTCTTTCGTTTGTAGCAACAAAGTCACTCAACTATTCATATAGCACTCAGAAGGTCACTCAATTAGATTTCTCAAATTTTTGATTACCATACCTATTTTGCCCTCTAAATTATTAATTTTTTTTTACTTTTTAATTATGTGAATGTTTATCTTTTTAATTTAAATGATGAACTTCCCTATAGAATAAATACATTTTATTTATAAAATAAAAAAATAGTATTTAAGCATATATAATGTTAGAATAATAACATATTGAGCATAAAAATAATTTAATTAGAACAATTTGTTCGCAATAAAAATTTTGATGTTAACAACAAAAACTCAAAAATTTATTTACACAATTGAGAGTGAAAAAAAATAATTTTTTTTTTATATTCTATGCACGTAATATAAAAATAATTATTTAAAATAAGGGTATTTTTATAATACAATTATATATTCTTGAAAATTATGCTAGATTATTTTACTATTCTGATATTATATACGCTAGAATATTAATTTTAAATTTTTAAAATAAAATTCATTTTCTCTATGGGTAAGTCCATAATGTCGATTAAAAAGAGAAAAATTATGATATTAAAAAAGTTATAAAAAGATAAAAGTTTAAAATTTAGAGGGCAAAATAGGTATTTGACAATCAAAAGTTTAAGAATTCTAGTTGAGTGACCTAAGTGACTTTTCTGTTACAAACAAAAGAAATATGACTTTACTGGATAATTTCGGATAATTGAGTGGTCATTTGAGTAATGGACTCTTCAATTCTCGATTTACTCAAAGTTTAGGCTCCATATTATGTTGTCCATGCTCTAGTTGATAGGTCTGGGCAGGCGGGGTGTATATTTGTCCCACATCGGTTGTGGCAGAATATCAGTAGATATTAACTCAGCAGCCAACAGTATCTTCGTCGACAAATTACAAAGTTCGTTGTCCTTGCAAACAGAAGTAAAAGCAGACATCTGCTTGAGTATGGACTAAAACACAATGCTTGATATTGAAACAGAAGGCCAAAAAATGAACTATTGACTCCTTTGGTAGTTTCATTTCACAAAACATTTTCCAATTGAGAGAAATATGGAATAAAATTCAAGAATGAACTTACATCTATATACACTGGAAATGTGATTACATTGAGAATAAAAGAAGTTCAGATTGTACAAATGTAACTAGAATTGTATGACAACTTTATCTTTCTTAGGTTGGAACTACTAATTCTGGTGTATGAAGGGAAAATGACTACAAGAAGATCAAGGCTTCACATCACTCCAAGTAGAATCACTGGCCGATGTTCTTAATAAGAGAGCCTGCGGGAATGTCTCTTTGATACAGGATGGTTATTAAAATTCGATCCCTGCATGTAACCACTTCTACTGCCAAATGAATTCGAGTCAAAAATGGCACCACCTCCTTCTAGTATTTTAAGTACCTGACAGTTTAGAAGACAAAATTAATAAATTTCTCACCATTTAAGTACACTTTCCCTGTATTGACAGCAATGTGAGAGGAAATATCCAGTCTGAACTCTAAAGAGGTACAATAGGCCTACTGAACGAAAAAGAATACACAAAACACACATCTCTAATAAATAACAAAAGAAGAAACGAAAACCTTTGAAATTGGAGGTCGCAGCTGAGGATCTTCCTGTAGACACATAAAAGCAGCATGACTCATCGCCTGTAGTTCATAAGGAAAGTTTTCAAGCGGGGATGAGGTCAAGTTGGAGTCCAGCAACTGATTTTTGAATGCTGAAAGATGATATGGTCCATTTCCAGCAGTAGGGGAAAGGCTTCCTGCAAGAAGGTGCTGACTTCTGTAGCATTGCAAGTCATTGGTTCTTCTACCAGTAATCAACTCCAATACCACCAAGCCAAAAGCATATACATCAACCTTCTCAGTGACTTTTCCATCATTGGAGTACTCTGGGGCAAGATACCTGAAAAACAATATGTCTTCCACCTTAACATAGAGAAGAATTTTTTAAAGAAGAAGGGAAAAAGAAAAAAAACTATAAGCAGCCTTATAGCTTGGGATCTCTGCTTATTAGATGTCTGCAAAACTAGGCTGCAAAGTTCTAGTCTATCAATAAAAATAACCAACAATTAGGGGAAGATTGAGATGTACATAGACAACTAGAAATTACAAAATTACCTTGAAGTTCTAATCAGATGTTCATCTTCAGAAGCTTCCCGTTCATTGTACAATCGTGCAAGCCCAAAATCAGCAACCTTAAATAAAGCAAACCATCTGATTAGGTTTTGTTCATTGCTTTTACAAAAGGATAACTGTGCTTGTCCATAACTCATGCAACTATAGACAGCTGAAGATCTCAAAAATTTAATAGCTTTTCTCATCCAAATGGCATATGCATGGATTTGGTTCATCTGATGTAAAAACATCTGCTGTACCTGACACTCAAAAGCTGGAAAGATAAACATGCTTCACAAGAACACCAGTAAAACTTACCAAAGGTTCAAAGTCGTGAGTTAAGAGAATGTTTTTAGGTCTGAGATCTCTGTGAACTATACATCCCACTCTGCAATCTTCATGAAGGTAACGTAAGCCTCTTGCTGTCCCAATAGCTATCTTAAGGCGTGAGCTCCAATCTAGAGCTGTTTCCTTTGTTCCTGCAAAATTTATTTGAACATTAAGGTGTTTCAAGTCCAGCACTGATTGAATTCCATATAAAAGCTGCACCATAGGTTGAATAGGAGATGAACTTTAAAGAGAAAATTGAACAGAAAATACCATGCAAATGAAAGTCCAAGGACTTGTTGCAAATAAACTCATATACTAATAGTCTCCTATTTCCCTGAATGCAGTAACCAACCAGCAGCACAACATTCCTATGCTGGGCACAGCTCAAAACTCGAACTTCTCTACGAAAATCAGCGTCTGCTTGAGATCCAATAAATTTTAGCTGTTTTACTGCAACAACCACTCCATCCCTTAAAACCCCTTTATGAACCAGTCCAAATCCACCTTCTGCTAGAAAATTTGTGCCTGAGAATCCATTTGTTGCTTCCTCTAGCTCTTCATAGCGAAATTGTTTCGGAGGCTTTCCAAAAGAAGGTGCTTTACATTGACAGAATGAACATAGAGGAGGAGGTATCGAGGAAGTTCGACCTAAAGAGACTGCTTCTCTGATGCTAGAGTTAAGATAGTCCCTGTCAGTGTCTCTATTGAACTTGCTTCCTTGGGTATTCAGGTTTTGGTTGTATTCAATAGAATTCTCGTGTTTATTTCCAGAAGTGACAGAGCGTGAGGTAATTTTGCAGTTTTCTACAGCTGAATTGTTGTCAGCAATAATACGGTTTTGCTGAATCCAAAGGATTGTTTTATGAGTATGACTTTGAGATTTAGGAACTGTTGACAGAGTTATTATCCTTTCACCAAATGAGTGCAGATCATTTACATGATCGCACACAGTTTGCTTGTGGACCGATGAAAACGTTTCTCTACTGAACCCTTCATACAGGGGATTCCGCTCATATAGGAGGAACGTGTCTGGATCAGTCAATGAATTCAGTAATGGAGTTCTCATATAGGATGTTCTTTGATCCTCGGGACTGCTCACTGGAGTAGAATGCTTCATTCTTTCATCCTGTATTTCTCTACTATCCTTAACAGGAGAGGAATTGGCAGAAAAGAAAGGGGTTTGAAGTTCCTCCGAACATCCTAGATTTAGCCTGAGAACTTTCGGTTTGGAACCCTTCATCACTACAATGTTGCAACGAAGTTCTTCCATGCAATGCTTAAGCTCTAACTTCAATTTTCTGTTGAACAAAATTGATAAAAGAAAAAGAACATGAGTCCATTTGATATCAAAACAGGGGAAAGAAAAAAGGAAAGAAAGCATATTGCCTTATGCACAGCAAAGAATGATGAGATAGTTCCATTTAAAACAGTAGAGATAAACTAGGAAGCAAGTAATAATCACAATTACAGTATACAATAAGGTACATGGAGAATCTATAGAAGTAAAATACACCTCCTATGTACATGTCTCAGTTAGAAATTAGAGGAGCAACAACATATGGCATATTGGATTACAGCTTTTTCCATAATCCAACAATGCATGCACAGGGGCGGAGCTAGCCCATGAGTTACGGGTTCGGCCGAACCTAGTAGCTTTGGTCCAAACTCTGTATTTGCCTTATGAAATACATTGAATATGTACTAATTATTGATATAGAACCTAGTAACTTAAAAGGAATAGAACTCTGAACCCATAACCTTCAAATCTTGACTCCGTGTGCATGCAAATCAACTTGAAGGTATTGGAAAACATCTATTCCGCGTAGGTAATAGAAATGAGGCAAGGAGAGAAAAAAGATATTTTAGGCAAACGATGCATAGAGAGAAAAAGGATATAACACATTTACATGCTATTACTTGTCCAAAATGACCCAGCTGACTGCATTGTTTTTTGCTTCAGCTGCCACCACACCAACAGACAAAGCTGAGACGACCTTAATTCGCACCCTGACCTACAAAAAAGAAGGTGATTTAAATTACAAACTTATTATTGTTATGTTTATTTGCAAGGTTAATATCGTTTTCAGACTACAGTCACTACAATTTCCTTCTTAATAAACATAAATCTTATTCTTTATCTTTTAACAATAAATATAATTACTTTTCTGCACACTTTCTCTTTCTTTTCTTTCAATTTCCCCAGTCCAGGAAAAATAAACATTGTAGTGCTAATGATTGATCAGCAAAATTATCATTGAGGTATCATACCTAAGTCAGCAGAAGTATAAAAGATTCCTTTGATATTTTATTACCTACCAGCCATTTCTTATGGAGAGCACATGCAACCCCTTATACATTATTAGCTTCAAGTACAACAGTTTACATTGGATCTTGACAAGCTTAGAATCTTCTTAAACCTTAAAAGAACTCAATCATATCAGACATTGAGATTGAAGGACCATTAATATTTGATTAACAACTGAATTTTATTTCTATCCACTACAGTGTAAAAGAAAATTATTTGTACAGTTAAATGTGCCTGGCTATGTTTAATCTACACATTTATCTGCAGTTGATTTCAACTTACAAGGAATTGCCATAATGTTTTTTTTATACCATAAGTAGATGAAAGTTAAACTCTTTATAGTGACTTTCTAACAGCTGAAATTACTTACTGTTACTTTTTACCACCGGTGACCAGAACGACATCGTTGCACACAGTAATTCAATCAAACAACAGACGGTTAAAACTTAAAAGTTAAAAGCAGTTCCCTACTAGTAAAGCAAATGTAATTACCAGAGTCGATAGAGGATAGCTAAAAAAGGATAAAAACAGAGGCACTTGAGTAATTTCAACTACTGGTAAAAAAAGGAATTAATTTTTACTTACATCTATGTGATCGTGAAATTGAAGAACCATCTGAGAACAAGTCTCCGTGATTTGTCCAATTCGATCATGCGAATTAGTCCTTTCATTACTCCGGCAGTCACCTCTCATCCTCGGAAATCCCCAAAATCTCCTTCTCTCTGTAAAAATCGTAAAAAAATAAGTGAAATTAAGAAATTAGAACGGTTTCATAAGCTTAACTTGCAAAAATTCATACACTAGTAAAATTACCGGTTTTCTCGTCGGCAAATACGGCGAGCAACGTAATGCAATCGCCGGCGCGAACAACGTGAGTGAGAGCCCAAGCTAGTGCAGTCTTAGTGATCACCTTCTCCGCCTTCACGGCGACAATCACTTTGTCGGTCAGATGAGGAGAAATGCCACGTGGCATCGACTGAGTCCGCCGTTCGGGTTTTGGCGGGAACATTGTATGACGTCAGATTCCGGCGACCGATGCGAAGCTAAGCTTCGGGAGAAGGAGAGAGAGAGTTTTGTTTTGAGTATTGAGCGGTTGGTTAACTACTTGTCGGGAGGGAGAGCTATGTGGTCTGTAGCATGGGGAGCTAAGAGGTGGGGAGTGATCGTGATTTGTGATATTAATAATGAAATGAATACTCGCTTAACTGTTAAGAAAGTGACTGTAAATTGGAATTAATTTCCATAAATGCGGCAAAATAAACCATATACTAAATAGAGGTAAGTTAATCTGCACTTGCAATAGATGTAAGGGACCTCATATTTTATAGTAATAAGTTTAACTTATATACATCAATAATGTAAATTAGATTATTTATTTATTTATTATAGAAGGTACCATTACAAATCTCACTTTCATGAAGAGTTACTTTGTACTTTTGGAGTAGACACATCAATACTCTTCGGACTAAGATGTTGACACCATCTATTTCTATTATTGGTTATCTTCACTACGGTCAAAATTTATGATTCGAGAGCTTATTTTTGTGACCCTTCTTCCGAAATTACAGGGTCATTTTGCCGAGTTCATTTGACATAATTTCTTCGGTGATAAGAAATTTTAACAATGTGTGTATATAAACTCTTTTATAGATACATACTTAAAATAATTTAGCTGATTAAAAATTTCTGAGTAAGAAGCGATTTATCCTTTAGTGGTCCTATTCAACGTGAATTCAAATTAGTTGGACCATCATATCTCTACTCATATAAAACGTATTTTAACTTTTCTTATTTATTAGAATCCACTTTCAGATTAAAGGGGGGGGGGGGGGGTAGGGTGGGGGGAGGAGGAACTAACAAAAGAAAATCTAGCTAAAGTTAAACGCTACGTAAAAATTGTGCTTTGTTCAAATTTCAAAAGAGTAGTATATGGATATATTTCTTAAGACGAAATACAGATGCATTTTTTACTACTTACCCAATTCTTGGGACATGATATCATTTTTCTTTCATGAGGGAATTAGTGTATTCCTCAGAGCTATTTAGTTGTAAGCTAATTCTAATTTCAGAGGTCTAATTAGTTGAAGTGGCAGCAACAGCTATGAATAAGAACTGTGTACAACTCATATTTCTAAGAATGAAATGTTTCGATGACCACTTCTATAATGACAGAACGTAATGTCAAGGTTTTGGTAACAGAAGCTTTTTTTTTTGTTTGTTTTTTTTTTTTTTTGAGAAAATACTTTAAACACATCAGACGTTGGTTTAATTTTTGAAGCAATCTCAAGAAGAAATTAAACTTAGCTATGCCAAGTTACCAAAATTGTTAAGTACGTATGACTACTATGTGGATTGATAAACTCATGTAAAAGAGAGTAGTAATTTATTACAATATGTTAAATTACATTAATATACTAGTACAATCAATATGTACAAGGTCCTATACGCATATACAAAGGAATCAAGAAAGCTCAGCGTAAACATAAACAGCCAAGCAAAACAGACTAATTGGGTGTGAGCTGCAGAAGTGCATGATAATGATGTATGGAAAATAATGTAGTGTTGGGATGCACAGATGAGGACTAGAGACTGAATACTTTATAGTGTACATTTGTATTTATGTAGAAATATTGATCAGCTTCAGCTTTCAGAGTAAGGGAAAACATGAGAAGCTGCCATTTGCATCGGCCCGCCACGTTGTTTTCAAGACAGGTCACACGAAAAATCATGTGATTACACTTATTACACCATCAATGCATCCATTCATTTTGTTACCTCATTATTACTCAATCAATTTCCTAATCTTAGAATATCGTCTTTACTATTTTTTCCTATTTATGTCATGAAAACTTTTGATTTCTAACGCATTTTGTTCGCATTATATACTAATTTCTCCTACATGTTTATCATTAGATTTCAACGCATATATTGAGATTTGAGAGGTTTTAATTAATCGAGGTAGATTCAAGATTTTAAGTTAGTAGGCGAAGAGTACTACTGCATCTACTGTTCTTTAGTGACGACAAGTATAAATATACAATAATTATAGTATATTTTTATGCGGGATACTCTCTCTGTTCCCGTTTATGTGAACATATTTCCTTTTTGGTCCGTTTCAAAAAGAATGACCTTTTCTGAATTTGGAAATAATTTTGCTTAAACTTTCAACTCTACCCTTAATAAAAAATATTTATAACCACACAAATACTCTGGACCCCCTTTTGACTTGTTTAGGACCACAAATTCTAAAAGTCTTCATTTTTTCTTAAAATTGTGTCTAGTCAAACAGGTTCACTTAAATTGGAACGGAGGAAGTAATAAATAAGAACTACTCAAACTAGTCCTGATTTCAATTACGATCTTAAAGTTTGCAGGTGTCCTCTACTAGGTATTTGTCCTAATTTTCTTATCATATTTGATTTTTCGATCTTGAAGGAAGTGCAACATATTTATCATAATTGATTTTACCTTTATAAAAAGGAAAAAAATATCTGGCTAGTCCTTTTTTTTTGGAGGAAAAGGTTTTGAATTTCTATAAATTGAGGATCCTTCATTGTGAATTTAGGAGCATCCACAATATAGCCATAAGGCGTTTGAGAGTCTTTGTTAGGAGAGAATTTGTGAGACAACTGCTAGCTTGCTACTTGTGTGTGTCTCTTTGTAAGGTTGCTCTCTCGTTATTTTGTACTCTCTTTATATGGTGGATTGCTCTTCTCCGCTTGTGGATGTAGGTCAATTGATCGAAACATTAAATATTTGTGTCTCTTTTGATGTATTTCTTTTTTATTATTTGATATTATCGTTGTTCAAGATTTGCTTTGTTAGCTTCCACATAACAACTAATTATTTCGATCCTAACATCCTCCATATTTCAAGAATCTATGGTCGAAAGTTAATTGTAAGATAAATTTCTTTAAGGCTTAGAAAGGCATCTTATGGTTTTAATAGCCAAGTTCCTCGTTACATTAACCCATGGGCCATAAATACTAGTATGAGTAATGTGATATCGTTCACATTCACATGGGGCAAGCTGGCTGGCCTGGCCATGAAAGGGTCAACACATGCAAGTGATAATAGCTCAGCCATTTCCCCAAGACTATGTACTTCAGAGTTAAATTTGGTTTTCTTCCCAATGCTATTGCCTCATTTCTGAGACACCACAGCCATTTCCATCAACCAATTGCACGCCCTGCAATTCCATGCCAACTAACTCTTTAAAGTTTTCATATGTATATACGAATTCCTAATATATATGGTGGTGAAAATATTCTTAAAATTTTGATATAACATCTCAAATAGGCTTTCACATGATAACCTCAATATTATTTTCATCTTTTTAATTATTTGTTCCTTTTTTTCAGTTAAGGTGAAAGTGTGTAAAGAATTTTTACATTATCAGATTATTCAAAATCTACTAAACATGGTTTTTAACAATAAGCATGAGTTGACAGCTTCTCATCATTGAGCGATGAGACGACAGAAGTCCCGAACAGATAAAATTGCAGTTATTAGTTTGATAGTGATCGAGCAACATTGCTCTTTTGAAAAAAGATGAGGACTATTTGAGCCACTATTTTATTTTCGGCCTTTAAACGATCTCTTCCTGTTTCCAAAATCTTTGCGTTTGCAATTAAACCATTATTCAGGAGCTTGCTTATAGAAGAGATTACTAAGATTTCTTGAGTTATTATAATCTTAATTTAAGCTGACACTTCAGGTTGTGTGTTTCAATTTAATTTTACCAAATTGACGCAGAAGCACATAAAACGTGAATTTATTGATTGTGTGGGAGTGGGAGTGGGTGCAGGACCTTAGTTATTCATGCCAAGAAATGCATTAGCTCCTACCTTATTCAAAATTATAATCCATGAAAAATTAACAATATTTAACATTAAATAGAAGATTATTGCTTTCTGGTTTTCAACGGACAAGGTTTGAATTATGTTATAGCCTTTTTGGCCAAGATGCAAAAATCAGCTTATTTTGAGAAGTTCTTTTTTCAAAAGTACTTTTGATGAGAAGCAGTTTGTGTTGGCCCAAGTAAAGCTTGTTTTGATGATTGACAAAGGAACTCAAGCATGAACCAGGTCCATACACGGTGTACATAGGTACACGGGCAGATTCGAGCACAAGGGATGCACGTGAAGGAGATAAGCTTAAGTTGTTATATCTCTTATCTCTTGAACGAAAATGTTGCATAAGTGATAAATAGAAGGACTCCTTACTCGAAGAGAACTCTATCCAAGATAAGGGAGGAGTTAGAAGTTGAAGATAACTAGAACTCTTCCACCAAGGAAGAGTATAGCATTAGAACTCTAGTTAAATCCTATTCTACTAACTCTATATATTTCAGGATGTTCTCATTTTACAGGTACGCACAAACGCTGAAGTTAAACGTGAGTTGAGAGCAAAATAACAAGGCATTTTGCAAGCAATTCGTGTGTTATTCAAGTGTGCAAACCTGAAGCTACATGAACCAGATAGAAGAACCAGTTCCAAGCGTTTGTCTTTTATTATAGTTTCATTATAGTAGGTCTTTTAAGTTGTACCTTTCAGCTTTATCTAGAAGCAATTGTACTAGGTACTCTGAGTGTTGTATTCAAGTTAGAGTTAACTTGAAGTTGTCGCAACAGCTAGAGGCTGGCTGCCACAAAGGGATTAGAGGTAATCCTTAGGTTTACAAAGAGTTTTGTAAAGGCTGTTTTGGCTTAGTGATTTAGTGAAGTGTTGGGGAAAATCCTACTGAGTAGTAGGTCGTGGTTTTTTCACCTTTTGAGCCGGGTATTTTCCACGTAAAAATACTTGTGTTCTTTACTTTCCGCATTTATTATTCCGCAACAGTGGTATAAGGAACACATAGAAGAACCAAATCCTTCAATAATCTGTGCACGTGAAAATTGGACACCACACAAATCACCCCCCCCCCCCCTGTATGACATTGAAGTATAAAACATCAATTGGTATCCGAGCGGGTCATCGTTGAAGAGTCTAACACCTTAGGAGAAGATCAAGATGAGTGCACCACCTAGAAACTGGGAAGGGCAATCCATTGCTAGCCCACCACTCTTTAATGTCCAGTACTACTCTTGGTGGAAAAACAGAATGAGAGATCACATTCAAGGAGAGGGCTATGAGCTATAGGACATTGTCACTGATGGT